TTTGAAAAATAAAAACTTGTATTAATATAAGTCACAATCTTTTTTACATTTTTCATTATGTTATAAGAAAAGGAACAGCATGAATGTATTACTCTAAAATAGTGCTTACTAAAATACATTTAATTTTACATAATGAAGGCACACATTAATGCATGATGACTGTGTGCATGTGTGAACCATAGAAAAAGGGCAAAAATCAAAAAGGACAAAAGAGCAATTATAGCAATCAACTGATGGTGAGGATAAATAAAGTAGAGCTGGAGTCTGGGCACAAACAGACCTTCAAAACAAGTAAAACAAAGCCAGGTAGAGGTAGCATACACCTTTAAACCACAGCACTTAGAAGGCAGAGGCAGGAGAACCCCTATTAGGCCAGCCTGGACCACAAAGTGAACAGCAGGACTACATACAGAGAAATCCTGTGTGTGTGTGGGGGGGATCAACCCTCCCCCCACATCACCAAAAAAGACAAAAGAAACAAAACAAAAAAGTAAAACAAACTATGTGTGGTAGTGCACCCCTTTAATCCCAGCAGTCCAGAGACAGAAATGGGCAGATCTCTGTGGATGAAAAGACCAGCCTGTTCTATAGTGAGTACCAAGAACAGCTAGGCTATAAACACTCTCAAAATAGGAAAATAGTAAAACAAATAATCCTACAATATAAATGCGCACGCACACATGCACAAACAGGTATGTTTGTGTGATACAGTAAGTACTTATTCCTGTTCCTTAAAACATACCTTTTAGTTAGGCCAGATGGCATAGTGTATAAAATCACTTGGTGCCAAGCCTGACAAGTTAAGTTTGATCCCAGAACAAACATGATAGAAGAAAAACTGTCCCTCTGAAAGTTGTCCTCTGAACTCCACAAATATGTGGTGACATGCTCACACACTTGTGCATGTATACAAACACACACAAATAAATGGAATTTAAGAAATCTTTTAGGAGTTGGACATATAGTTCAGTGTCAAGTCACTTGCTTAACATGTGTGAATCGCTAGGAGTGATCCCTGGCATAGCAAAAATTAAAACAACATAACATAAAATGAAACAAAAATCTTTTAAGATTCTGTTTTACTGCAGTAAGAATAACTAGAATTTTAAGAAAAAATACCAGTAACTAATGCTGGGGGATGTATAGATACTTATTATCTAAATAGAAGGACAAGTAACAGTCCTTGACAGACTAAAGCAACACCCAATAACCAGGATGATACAAATAGTACTTTTAGATTTAATTCTTCCCAGGTGAAATAGCAAATAATGAAATGAGAACCAGTTGGAAATGAACTTAAAGGGAATACTAAAACTTACTAGATGCTTAATTTGTTTTCAAAATTCTAATGTTACACACTGATTCCTTTTAGGCTGTTAGGGTATACCTGTAGAGACCAGAGCTCAACTTTGCAAGGTGTTCCTCAGAGCCCATCCACCTTGTTTTCACTGGGGCCAAGGGCTCACAGGCTGCCTCTGACTGGCATTCCCAACATGCACCACTATACCTGGAATTTTAATGTAGGTACTGGGGACTGAACTGCAGCAATCATATCATCAACTGAGCTATTTTTCTAGCTGAGCTATTTTTCCAGTTCCTATTATAGCCAGTTTATACGTGATGAAACAACTTTAGAGATTTTTTTGAGTTCAAGGTCAGCCTGATCTACAGAAGGAGTTCCAGGACAGCCAGGGCTATATGATGACCCATCTTGAAGAAGGAGAAGGGAGGAATAAATGAATGAATGAATGATAGCACCACCCAGCCACCAAAATATTTAAGTTTTTTTAAAAAGATTCTTATTTATTTGTTATGCATATAGTGTTCTGCCTGCAAGCCAGAGGGCACCACATTTCATTGGTTGTGAACCACCATGTGGTTGCTGAGAATTGAACTCAGAACCTCTAGAAGAGCAGCCAATGCTCTTAATTTCTGAGCCATCTCTCTAGCCCACCTGTGTGCAGCATTCCTACTTGTTTGTTAGTTCACACTGCAGCTGATCAATAATCATGAAAGGACAATAAAACAGGATAGTTTCTAAAGACATCTCCTTCACAGTACTCCACAGACTCATTTGTGGTCAGAAGCTATATCAAATTAGCCACTATTTCAGGAATTTCCTTGAACAAAATCATAAACAGTAAAAGATGTTAGCTTTACAACAACACATAGAAGAAAGTTCCTGCTGCATCCAATCACATCTGCTTATACACTGAGACCCCAGCCCCACCTTACCTGGTGTCTTAACAAGCAATTCCTCAGACTCAAGAGCAGGCTGCGGAGAGACTTCTGGAGCCACAGGAACAGATAAGGTCAGCTGTGGCAACTCAGCATGTCCAACTCCAAGATCTGACTGAGCCAAGGGCCCTTCCAAAAATGGAGCCTCTCTTTCAAGAACTGGAGGCTCTTCTTTAGTTGAAATCAAAGAATTCTCATCCACCTGCTTGTTCTGAGCACTAGAGCGACATCGGGCAAGAAGGCTTTCGTCTTCACAGCGGGAACTTACCTAAACATAGTAGATACAAATAGAATACACAGGACAAATTTTTTTTTTTGTTTTTGTTTTTGTTTTTCGAGACAGGGTTTCTCTGTGGCTTTGGAGCCTGTCCTGGAACTAGCTCTGTAGACCAGGCTGGTCTCGAACTCACAGAGATCCGCCTGCCTCTGCCTCCCGAGTGCTGGGATTAAAGGCGTGCACCACCATCGCCCGGCTACACAGGACAAAATTATTACAATTTACCAAAAGGGGAATAAAAGGGCAATTAAAAACATGAAACATTAAGGACCTGGTGGTGGTGGTAGCTCACACCTTTAATCTTGGCACGGGCACTCTGAAGGCAGAGGCAGGAAGATCTGTGAGTTCAAGGCCTGTGAGTTCAAGGCCAGTCTGGTCTACACTAGGACAGCCAAGGCTACACAGAGAAACCCTGTCTCAGAAAACAAAACAAACAAACAACCCCCCCCCCCAAAAACAAAACATAACAAAACAAACCCAAGAGATTCTGATACTTGCTATAATGTGAATTAAGCCTGAGGATATTATGCTAAGGGAAACAGTTCAAAGTAGTACAAAACTCCACTAGTTCAATCTGGAAGAATCAAACTCATGGAGATTTAAAAAAAAAATGGAAATAATAGAAAAGAGAATTATTTGTCCAATAAGTATTGCTTTTCAGTTTAAGAAAATAAATAATTCTAGAGATGAATGATACTTATGGTTGTATAATAGCACAACTACTCTAATTTGTAGAACTGTATGCTTAAAATAGCTACTATAATAGACTTTGTGAAATATTTTAGCATAATTAAAAAGAAAAATGTTTAACATTTAAACTCTATAATGTAAAACCAATGAGAGGGAGAAAAAAAAAATCAAAGTTCCTCCTAATATTACCAATTAAAACTAAACCCCTTAATTAAAAGAAACAATTATTTTTACTTTTAAAGAATTTTAAAGTTTAATAAAAAGACTGAGCTTAATGTGGAGAAAGATGAAAGAAAATCTTTAAGTCTTTTTATTTTATAGCCACTAATAAAATTAACAGATAAGGGTCTTCACTTTTTTTAAACCACAGTGCAATGGCTAACAAAGAACAGGACATTCCTTTGCTACTAATTACATACATACTGTTAATTCACAAAAGTGTAAAATAAAAGTAAAGAGATTAGTTAGCATTATGAGAACTTTAGTTCACAAAAAAAAAAGTTAAGGCAAAACTATGTATTTTCATTTTATTATCCAGGCTGTTAATGCTTCATCATAACAATCTTCCTAAGTACTAAAACACTCTTCAAAAGCAGAGGGTAAAAAGGCAGAAACATGTTAAGTTGATTCACTCACACACCTTCTGAATAACTAACACAGGGTATGCAGACACTGTGCTAGAAGCTAATAGTAAACAAGAGACTACACAAAACAAACACCAGAGAAGGAGGACCCCAGTTAAAGAAGTAATGGTCTTCTGAAGATAAAATATGATACTACAGGTAAACTGCCACCTCATAAAATGTTGCTGCATACCTTATGCACTTGTTCCTGTACCTTCTTTTGTTTTTTCTTAGGAGCAAATATCTGGTCATATTCTTCTGAATATTCCAGAAGCCACTTGCTTGGCTTCCTAAGACGTTTCTTCTCTGACCGAATAGCTAAAAGAGAAAATAACCTCAATATTAATTAATGGATTTAATTAATTATTTAAACCCACTCTGTCAGCAAGAGGTCTGTGAGCAGTGGTGCACACGGCTTTAATCCCAGCACTCGGGAGGCAGAGTCAGGCAGATCTCTGTGCCTTTTGAGGCCAGCCTTGTCTACAGAGCAAGTTCCAGGACAGCCAGGGCTACACAGAGAAAGCCTGTCTTGAAAAACCAAAATAATAGGCAGGCTCAAAACAATTTTAAAGATGTAAAAGGATTCTGGCTTGAACAGTAAGAAGCTTGATATTATTTGCTATGGATTATCAAAAACAAAAGTTGGGAGGTTTTTTTTTTTTTTAACTCCTCATATACACAATTCTCTATTAGTAAGGAAATGATTAAACTGAAGCCGGCTTTCTGTATACCAATACAGAGTTAGCATATACCTAAAATAAAAACACAGATTACTAACTGGGTAAACAGGCACAAGTATCTGATATTCTTCTGAGTAAGAAACACCTTGAGAACTGGACATGATGGCTAAGGCAGAAAGACTACTGTAAATTTAAGGCCAACACAGGCTACAGAATTGTTTCATGTCAGCCTAGGGATAAAACTTTGCCTCAAAAACAAACAAAATAACAAACACAAAAACACAAACACCTTAGGAAGCCAAGTTCATGACTTCTAGAAGGATATATAACCTAACAGGCTCCATTTCTTCTACTCAGTTCCTCACTGTCCCAGTTTTATAACATTTACACTGTTACAATGTAGCACACTGAAGCCCCTTAGGACTAGAGGCTAACACCTACACAATAAAGTAGGGTCTGTTTAGGAACCTCAGTTGAATATAGTATTAATGTTTCTGATGAAATGGAAAGCAATTAGAAGCTAGTGTTGTATAGTGCACATCTTTAATCCTGGCACTTATGAGGCAGAGGTAGGAGGGTCTCTGTGAATTTGAAGCCAGCTTGGTCAACACAGAGAGTTCCAGGCTAGCCAGGGCTGTACAGTGATACCATCTCAAATAAACAAACAACAAATAAATGTATTAATTCAGGAAAGCCACCCTGAAACCATAGGAGGAACATATCTCAAAAATAGAAGGGAGGGGGGAACAACTAAATGTTGTGGGCAAATATTAAAAGGCTGAAATAGGTATTAAAGGTATAAGCCTAGCCGGGCGGTGGTGGCGCACGCCTTTAATCCCAGCACTCAGGAGGCAGAGGCAGGCGGATCTCTGTGAGTTCGAGACCAGCCTGGTCTACAAGAGCTAGTTCCAGGACAGGTTCCAAAACCACAGAGAAACCCTGTCTCGAAAAACCACAAAAAAAAAAAAATAAGTATAAGCCTACATTGCTACTTATATAATTATGCAGCTACTCAAAGTATAAAAAAAAAATGGGATTTTTCTTATTGTTCCATGTTAGATAATGTTTCTATAAATGAACCAAAGAGGTGCATTTTCCAAGCATGTGACAAGTTTCCTTGAGTTCCTGCCAGCATGACAATGCTTCTTCTACTTCTGAAACAGACCATACCCTAGATGGTTAAAAAAAAAAAAAAAAAGCTAAAACATAACTTGGAATAAATATACACATTTGTATCCATGACTTTGTGCTCCAAGGGAAACTATGATAGATTATAATCTAATAATTTCCTCATTAGACATTCAAGTTTTACAACACATTACACTTATTTCTAATGGGAAGGAACACCAAAAAAAAAAAATGTTAAGAAACAACATGGGTTTATTATTTCCAGTCACCTCACATTCAGACTTCTGATCTTCAGTTCAACATGCCAGGCAGAAAATGGCATCTCCATTTTATAAATAATATAAAATGGGAATAAAAAAGGGAAAGTGGTTTATCAAACTCACTATGTAATTATAAATCAATTATTGAGGTAGGCCAGCCATGATAATAATCAAAATCTGTCAACTCTAAAAGTGTGAATAGTTTTAATTAAAGTGAGCTCCTGTGTTTGTTAGTATTGTATCTGTCCCCTCATTCCTAAACAAAGTTTAGGTTAGGAATCCTAGGTTTCAAGACTGTCTTGTTCCCTTCTTGAGGTTGCTGTTCCCATTAGATAGTGGCAATTCAGCTTTCTCAGAAAATACTCAGGCCAAGCTTCAGTTTTCTGGCTATTTCTTTGAGCAAACAAAGAAGCCAGCAGAGTACAAAGAAGTAGATATCAGAGTGAGATAAATCTGTGTTCAGTGATCACATGCATTGCTCCTCGTCAAAATCATGTAGAACATGATAGGACCTCAGTTGGGTGTAGTAGTGAACACGTTTAGTGGCGACAGAGGCAGGTATTTGAAGTCGGCCTGGTCTACAAAATGAATTCCACAGCAGCAAGGGCTATATACAGAGAAACCCTGTCTCAAATCTGCTCCCTACCCCAAATTAGGGTCTGATAAACTATTACATTAGACTTTTGGGGTAACATTTTATTGGAGTATAGAGTCACACTATTCATTTCTAGATGGTCTATGGCTTTTTTTTGCCACCAAGGCAAAGGTTAGTAGTTAGAGAGTCTATACAGTTCTTAATGCCTAAAACATTTACTTTTAGGAAAAAATTACCAGCACGTTCCTTAAATAGTGTAACAAACTGTAAAGTGAAAATAACTAGTAAGAATTAAATGACTTAAAAGACAGAAGATACTTTCTTTTTCTTTCTTCTTCACATTTACAACACCTCAACTCTCACCTACCTTCTTCCCAGATTGCCCAAACAGTCACAACACTTTGAACAGTTGGAAAAGTGGAAAGAAGTTCCCTAATCCATTTCCTCCATTTTAAAAAATTAATTTATTTTTTTGTTTTCTGAGAAAGAGCTTTTCTGTATAGCCTTAGTTTCCTTGATGCAAGTGGACAACATTGAAACAAGTTATGAAAAAGGACAATCAAAAAAAAGATGAATATAACACAAGCTTTGAATGCTGGAGGGCAACAGGAAGAATGAATGACAATCAAATGAGCAAATGGTAGATCGTGCAAGCCTTTACACAGGCTGAGCAGCAGCAGCAGACAAAGCAGAAGCTAAAACTCAACACCACTGAAATTCTCACAAAAGAAACAAGCTCTTATTCCCATTCTACAAGTATAAACTTTCAAAAATGAACACAATGTATTGTAGAGAATGGACGTCAACTTCTTATGCTGGTAGATTACAGTTCAGAGAGCACACACCAGCTAAAATAATAAAATAGCCCTAATGCCAAAACATATCAAATGGTGACCAACTAAGGAAAGGAAAATAGGATGTGTATATATAGCTATGCTCAGCATATTATTATATATATATATATTACTCAGCAGTGTAAACAAGTTATTGCTACATGTTACCACATATAATCACATGCAAGTCAGATGAGATCCAGTGTGCTTATGACAAGCCAAAATATGTAAGGTGAAAAGCAAAGCTTAGAGACTATACACTATATCATTACACTAATATGAAATGAAAAGAGAAGTAAATCTTTTAGAACAAAAATTGGATTAGTGTTTGTTTGAGCCGCTGAGAAGCAAGGAGTAAAAATTATATACACAGACTATGGGTGTTTTGTTTGTTTTTGAGACTGGATGGAACTCTTGTAGTCCAGGCTAGCGTCAAACTCCCTATGTAGCTGAGGCTAGTTTGAACTCCTGATCTTTCCTTCAACTCTCACGTACTTGCGATTACAGCATGTAACACGATGTCCAGGTTTTAAATTATTTTCAAATGTTTTCCAGACAATATTCATCATCTATTTTACACAGGGTAGAGAGCACAAGCTGAGATAGGGCCCCATCATGCAGTTCTGATTACTACTAGGGCTACAGATTCTTGTTTTGTTTTGTTTTTTTGAGGCAGGGTTGCTCAGTAGCTTTGGAGCCAGTCCTGGAACTCACTTTGTAGACCAGGCTGGCCTCAAACTCAGAGATTCACCTGCTTCTGCCTCCTGAGAGCTGAGATTAAAGGCGTTCAACACCTCCGCTGAGCTCTTATTTATCTTTTTAAAACAGCAAAATACCTCTGTCACATATAATAGTATTTGTCCCATTGCAGACTACAAAAAACCGGGAGTACAGCTCACCAATAGAACACAGATTTGTGCTCAGTCACTAACAGCACCAACAAAACAAAACCAGGCATAATGGCACAGACTCAATCCCAGCTACTCCAGAGACAAAGGCAGAATCTGGATCACAAGCTCAAGGCCTGCCAAAGATACTGTACAGTAAGTTCAGTCTAAACAACTTAATGAGACCCTTTCAAAATATAAAAAGTCAAAAAAAAATGGCTGGGGATATAGACTAGATATAGAGTTCACCTAGCATATATGAGGCCCTAAATTTAATGCCCATTAAGACAAAAACAAAGCAAACCCCCATGTCATAACACATTCCATGAGGCCATTACTACCTCAAACTAAAACCAGACAAAGATTATCACAAAAAAGCAAACCAAACCTAGCAATTAAAAAAAAAATCGTACTATATACCACAAATGATACTAACCCTAAGACTACAAATTAAGTTTGATACACACTGGTAGATAAAGGGAGGAAAAGAGCCAAATAAGCGCCAAACTGACAAATTAATGAAATATAGAATGATGGTTAATCTTAATTGTAATTTGATTAAATAGAAGAACCATGGAGATCAGGTAAGCAGAGTGCTATCTTTACTGGCACATGTGTGCGCAGGGCTGAGAGGGTGCGTTTCCAGAAAGGAAAAACTAGAGGGAAGAGAGACCCAACCTTGAATGTGTATGGCACAACACAACAGGCTGGGGAACCAGCAGGAGGAAGAAACCAGTTAGCTTAGACACGGCTCTCTATTTCCTGTGTGCCATGATGTGAGCTGTTCTACTCTGTAACGGAACAGCTGTCCTTACCAACATGGACAGAAAGCTCTGAAAACTTAAAGTCAAAACAACAAGAAACTTACTAACACACAGGGGTGAAAGGGAATTCTTCAATGTCAAAATCACCACTAAAACAGTTAGTGATATAAT